ATTACATTTGTATAGCGCCTTTCACGTCGGGAGGACGTTCCAAGGCACTGGACAGAGTACAGCATTTCAGACCTGAGCTGGGGTTGGGGGGCGGAGGTGCGGGGAGGGCAGGAGGGAAGGGGGTGACCGATGGCAGGGTTGAAGAGGAGGGTCTTGAGGCGGGACTTGAAGGAGGCTAAGGTGGGGGCGAGGCGGAGTGACTGGGGGATGGAATTCCAAAGGTTGGGGGTAGAGTGGCTGAAGGCTCTCCCGCCAATGGTGGGCGGGTGGGTCGGGGGACATGGAGCAGGTCAGAGCCGGCTGAGCGGAGGGAACGGGTGGGTTGGTAGGGGGTTAGGAGGTCGCAGAGGTAGAGTGGGGCGAGGCCATGGAGAGCTTTGTATGTGAGGACCAGGATCTTGAACTGGATCCTCTGAAGGATAGGGAGCCAGTGGAGTTGGGCGAGAATGAGGGAGATGGGGTCACGGAGTTTGGTGCGGGAGAGGACACGGGCTGCAGAGTTCTGGATTATCTGCAGCCTGTGGAGGGAGGAGTTGGGAAGGCCGACAAGCACGGAGTTTGCATAGTTGAGCCTGGAGGTGATGAAGGCATGAACAAGAGTTTCAGCGGCCTGAGAGGTGAGTAGTGGCGGAGTCGGGCGATGTTACAGAGGTGAGGGAAGGCAGAGTGGGTCATGGCTTGAATGTAGGGAGAAAAGACAGTTGAGAGTCGAACAAGACACCTAGGTTCCTGACTGGCTTAACCACTAACAACTAGTTTGGGAGAGTGGTTGCTAAACTGGTTCAACTTGACATCATTCCTTTGTTTTCTTTTATCGATGTTCAGCTCTCTGAGGCACAGCTCCTCATCAATGGAGCTATAAAAATAAATGTTGTTGTTGTCATTATCTTTGTCCCAAGACTCCACAATATAACTGTCATTGTGCTGTTGTGACCAATGTATTTACCCAAATTCAACAACAAGAAGAAGATTACATTTGTATAGTGCCTTTCACGTCGGGAGGACGTCCCATTCAAAGAAGTAATTCCATTTTACAGTTTATTTCCATTTTACAGTTTGTAGCATTTTGGAAGTTCCATCATGGGAACTATTATGTGATTCCACATTACTGTAGCTTCTGGCGGTAATGTGTTTTGCTATCGGATTTACTTGCCTGTTTGATGCAATGTAGACAAATAACTATGACCAAAGAGTACAAGCAAAAATTCACAATAATACTCTAACCTTTGGGCATCATGCTATAAATATGGACCATTTTTAGGGAAACCAGAAATAATACTCAGTCTTCTAACAGTCATTATTGTATACATTACACAAATAAAATGAGGGCGTGAAATGATTTGAAGGTTGTGACTGTCATTGCCCTTCAGCTTGTACAAACAAATTAGTAGACATATATTAACTTATGCACACTTTCATGTCTGATAGTATGATGAAATAATGCTTACGTATATCATGAATGCCCCTGAGATTCAAATGTTAAGGCACATGACTGGCAAGGTTAACATAATGAAATGAAATAAGCGTACCTTATTGCATCTAATATTTTGGATCCATTATTTGTTTTGTACTTCGGATCCAATTTTACCTTGTATTTCTAAGTACTGACTTTATTTGCTTAGTTCAGTTTCTTGCGCTATACAAATGTAATTTTGTTGTTGTTGTTTAGTTTCGGGTGCAAATCCTTAACTGTCCAGCGCTGAAAGGCACTCTACAAATGTAATTTGTTGTTGGTGTTATCAGATGTCTTCTGAGGGTAAATTCAGTTGTTGGCTTTAATTTTATAGGCTCTTACAGTGGAAGAGTAAAATAAATTGATGTGGCCTTGCAGCAAAAGCAAACACATTAATCAATCTGAATTCCAAGACTAAAGTCGATCCATTGATATTGTACTCCTGCCATTTCTGGACCTAGGCATTTTTATACTTCCTTGGATAAAGATTTTTATCCTCTTTCCATTTTTAGAATGTGTCATTCATGGACTGCCATGAAACGGTGGCCTGCTGTCTAGCCAGGCGTAACGTTAGACAGTAAGCTTCCAATTGCTCATCAGTCTTTCGCAATCTAGAAATGACATTACAAAGCGCATTTCTATGTGTTTCAAACTTAATGTAACCCTAACATTTTTATTTATTTGCACCCATGAAGTCAATCATTTACTGTTTAGTAGACCTCCCATTTGAAGAAATAAAATTGCATTACACAGATCAGCCATGGCATTGATCCCAAAGGTAAGCATGAAATTACGCTATTATTCCTGGTATTTTTTAGTATAAAGTATCTCTTCTGGTTTTAAGACATGTTCTCCCTGGTGACATAGAAGTGTCTCCAATTTGTGAGAGTTTCTAACAAGAATCATTAATAAGGCATCTGTGAAGGGACTTCTTCCCATAACTGGAAGTACATAACACACATCCTTCTGATCAAAGGAAACTTTGGTCCCAAAGTAGATCAGGTCAGGGTGTAATTCTTGTGAGTTGGAATAACATACTTCTGGTATTAAAAAAGAATCTGTTTAGAAATTATTGTATATTAGACCCAAATACAGTGGATTTGCTTGGCTTTCTTTGTCATCGTGCTGTGTCATAAATGTAGTTTAACATCTATATTGCACTATATAAATTATAATTCATTGCATAGTTAAAATAATATAAAAGATTCCCAACAACAAACCTTGACTGCAACCCAATCAAATAATAATAATGTAATTTGAACTTGACAAGAAACAAAGTGCATCTGAGTTTTCACCTTAAACATTATTTTACCGATTATGATCTTCACATTCTGTTACAGACATAAAAATCAGAAGTGAGATTCAAAATTGGGCCTTTATCATGGAAGCCTATTTATTCATAAATTCAGTGCAAGTCGCTAGCGCATGTACGATTTTGGCATTTGGGCACCATCCCTTTAAGAACTGTAGAGGAATTCACAGAACAAAAAAAAAGCTTCAAAACTATGAATAAACATGAAGATAACTCTGTAACAGTGCTCAAATTTGTCACCAGAAATGTACAAATCACTGGATTCTTTAAGGTTGCACAAAAAGAGAGGTCTATATTCCGAGGGTTAAACTGGTCTTAGTTTTCAAAGCAATTTTGGAACCTTCATTGCTGGTACGCATTATACATACAGCTAAATACCTGATATAATCATACATGAATAGGTTGAGTCACATTTGCCATCTCTTCACTGCAATATGTTACTGCTTTTGTGGTTTTTAAGCCATTTTAAATTAACTAACTCCAATTTGTGCCATTTTAAGGATCCTGTACTGCTTATTGAAACAAGATGGGATGTTCTGCCGTGGAAGGGACAATGCTAATTTTCAGCTGATTTGTTGTGCAATTCACCACTGGGTAGGATGTAATGAGTGATTCTTGGTCACTTCTTACAACTTATAATTCCAATGATCTGGGAGCGGTTCTTAATTTTTTTGTGTGGAGATTATAAATTCATAATCAACATAAAAAAAAACCAAAAGCCTTTCCTTATTTATGTTATATCGAACATGGGACAAGTGATCAACATTTCAAACTAAGTCTTAGCAGTTGTTCTAATGTTGTGTTGCATATAATTAAATTGGGGTGGGCCAATGTGATTGCACCATAATAGAGTTGTGGTAAATTGAATTTTAAATGGGTCAACATGGGGCCCACTTTTGAAGATATAATATGTTATCCAATTCTGGCAGGCTTCATCTGTCTGACACAATCTTGAACATGACTAAACATGAAGAGTTGTGACAGCAGCCAACAGCTGATGTGATCTTTGCCATTCAGTGCAGAAACTGCATGAGTGACACTTTCTGAATACCATAACGTAGGTGCTTGGTGATTGGCAATGCAGCACAAACCTTAGTTTTCAGAAAGAGTCACACTGCTGTCAGTCGATGTAGGATTGGTACAGTTCAGATCCCTGGCAGAAGTCAGTAAATCCCTGTTTTGTATAAAAAAAATTGCAAAGCCAGAAAATATGAATGTGAGCTGTGAAAAGCAAGTTAGAGTAAAGATAGAACTGTGAGCAATTAATGTATGAAGCTAAATGGTTAGTGGATGCATAGCACATGAGTTCATAGAGGTCAATCACATCATAAGAGGCTGCAGGCAGGGTTTGAAAAGTAAATGGTTGCAGGAACATTGGGTCTGGCGGGAGCATTCAGTTCAGGTTGTATTTTGGAATTGGAAATGAAAGAATTTTGTAAAGAGAAAATTAAGACAGGATGTTGCAGCATATCAATCTGTAATGCTTTGGGGATAATAATTTAATATATTTTTCATTTAATAACATTCAATTCAGGCTGATGCACATTTTAATGTTTGACATTTGTAATCTGGAGTGATGAATGGTGTAATTCAATGAAAAGCATTACGTTACATTTATTCTTAAAAGCTAATTTGAAACACAGCATTAAAACACCTGGTAACAGCTTCACTGCACGCCATAATAATTAGAAACAGGTTTAAGTGCATATCGTCTTGCTGGAAGCAAAAACGATAGATAAAGGTGTTGTATTGTTTGTAATGGTAATTATACGTTGAATGAAAATATGAAGATATTCAAAGTTGCCATACAAAAAGTGGGGGCTTCCGATTAAAACTGCTCTGTACACAGTCAAACACCAGAGGTGGCAAAACCTCATCCAATTTTATAAGGTTGTACATTTGTGACTATTCAGATATATGTTTATCACAAAGGTTGTGGCATCCCATATCTGCTGGCTGCTTTGGTACCAGGATTAGATATTTATCTTTACGTAGCAATGCAATTAATACCATCCAGTCATTTCTGACTAGCAAACCATGACAGAAAAACAGGGAGGCATTTGGAATTCAAAGAAGGTATGGAAGGTAGCACCGTATGAAGCCTTCATCCTTACAATAACATGTAATATTGGGCAGTCACAGGTATTTTTGCTGGACATTAAATATTTTCTGACCAATTCATACATTCATCACAATGGTTTGAATGAGACCTTCGCAGGCACATTAGACCTCAAATTACACACAGCTGACCTTTTCACTGACAATCGTACAATTCTTTACACAAAACTTTGTGGTTCCTTGTTCTGCATGTAATTTTTCTTTGGGGACCCTTAAATTGTTACTCGCTGTCTTATTTCCATTGTGTGTACTAGTCATTTGAAAAGTTTTCTCATAAAACGCTGAGGTAGCAGAAATGATTGTAAACTGACCTTTTGTTCTACCAACACCATACAGACAGCAGATGTAGTGAGAAAAGGCTCGACGGTAGCTTCCATTGAACAATGTGTATACCAGTGGATTGACACCAGATGATGTATAGCCAATCCAGACAAACACATTGAGCAGTTCTCCAATGAGCTCTTCATTGGAAGAACCCTTGCAGACAACAGACATCACATTAGTGATGAAAAACGGACACCACATCACTACAAACAAAAAGAAGACGATCCCAAGAACCTTAGAAGCCCTTTGTTCATTGTTGATAGACTGCACAGTCCCTTTTCGAAAAAGTGGAGCTTCTTTGTTCAAAGGTATGTTGGAGTTTAATTCAACGATTTCTGTTCTTTGTATTACTGATGAATTTTCTGTTTGTTTTTCTTTTTTAAAAAGGTGCAAGTTTGCCCGCTTTTCTTTTTCTTCCCCTAGGAACACACTAACCTGTTTCTGAAGTGCCTGCACAGTCAAACAGTAAGTGAAGACCATTATAATCAGCGGGATGAAGAATGCCACAAATGACCCCACCAGAACAAAGCTCTCTTCATTGAGAACACAGCTGTCATCAATGAAAACCCTGGACTCATCTTGAAGGCCAATAACAGGGATTGGCATTGAAATACCTGAAATAATTCAAAAGATGAAATTACAAAAAACAGCAATCAAATGTTACTTAAATTAGGCAATAGCAAGAAAAAGGGGCAGTTGAAAAACTTCAAAGAAAGGCCAAGAATTGCCATTTGGACATTTTGACTTGCTCCACATTTCTGCTCCTGAAGATTTTTTCCGTATCGCAAAACCATTTCTTTGAGAACCATTCTTCCATTTATAATTAAATTCTTTGAACCTTCACCCACATTAATTCTGAAAACCACCTTTTCAAATTCCTTTATGCTCTTCAGTGTTTAGTGAGAAGGCTGCAAATGTGCAAAAGAGAATGACACAAAGTCTGGTTCATTCTTAAAATGCAGTCTGAAGGAATGAATGAGAATGTTTCCGATTGATAAAGGTACTTGGAGAATAGGTTGTGGCAGAGCATGTCAAGTAGAGTACATAGAAGCCCAGAATTTCTTGACTTAAACTTCTTTACAATGGCTGGGTGGCTTTCTTAGAGGTTTAATAGAATATGGTAATCTTCACAGGAAAGCGTCATATCAGGAAAACTCAATAAGATATCGAATGGAAATGAAATATAGCAACATCTTTAAAACATTGATGAAAAAAGTTTCTGTCAAAAATAAGATTGTGGAAAATCGTGTTCTAGCATTTCTGTAGATGTAGCATTTATCTTTAATTAAGTATTGCTTTCTGCTACTTTTATAGTATATTCATTGCTCTCTCAAAGTCTACAGTTGGGAATTGTATGTGGGAATTGTATACTGAGGTAATTTTACTCAGAATATTTGCCTATTTATAGACCAAGAATCAATTTGGACTTTTGTTGTCTGAATGACTCAGTGTGGTAGTGCGTAATGCATTTAGCTCCCAGAAAGGATTTTCATAATTTAGGGAACGAGGAATGGGGAAATTTGAAAATATACAAAATAAAAATATGTAAGCAGGAATCAAAAGGGAAAATTGGGAACAAATTTCCAAGTGGCATTAAGTTACAATGTTCAAATGTCTGATGAAATAATTATTTTGGGGTAATATAAAAAGGGACCTAACACAAAGCGCGAGGTCAGCAGGTTGCTAAAGTCTGGGCAGCAATAATAACTTTTGATATATCAGTGAAGTTCTCATAAAACTTAAATGTACGCGTAAGTTTATTTTTGTGTAGAATAAGATTACAGTTAGATACAGTCTAAGGAAGCCAAAGGAAACCACGAAGAAAAACAAATGTTTACCTATTGAAATGGTCCAGACAGCAGTTATTTTTAAAATGGCTTTGGTTCGTGAGTTGAAGCGGCTGTGTTCAATTGGATTCCGTATTCCAACATAACGATCCAAAGATATTGCACATAGATGCATAATTGAGGCAGTGGAAAAGAGAACATCCAAGTAAATCCAGATGGGACACAGCTCTGTGGGGAAGGGCCAGCTATAGTCTGAAACACAAACCGTGAAAATGGTAAATGCACCAAACCCTCTATTTTCTCCCTCAGCCATCAGCACATTGCATACAGCTGAGAGGACAGTTTGATGAACTGCTCTCAGGGTGTGATTTTCTTTTCCCCTGTGAGGATCAGATAGTTTTTGGTTTCCATTCCATACCTTCTCTGCGGTCAAGAATTCAGGACTGTGAAAAACTGAACCCAGTTGTATTTTTTCTAATTGCTATTTCTTGAGCTTTTAAATTGGAAGCCAAATGCAAGCACTGAATTGGGGAACATAAATGGCTATAACACAACACAGTTTTGCACTCTATCTTCAGTTGCATCAAGACACCAGAAAACTGAAGACAGAGCCTTTATTTGGAATGAAAAACATAATTGTAAATTTTGTTTTACTGCTTGTTCTTAGTTTTTTTTAGTGTTGGAGTCTCACCAGCATGATCTATCCTATATTACAAGACTCCCTAATGACTTTTTCCCACAAAAAACCCTAATAATGGATGCAGAACAAGAGATTGTGAGCCTATTTCAAACATTAACGATAAGAGATAATTGAAATTCACTGGTAAAATTGGGAGTAACATGGTAACAAGGCAACATTTAGGATTAGACGACAATTCATTAAAATACACATTATTCATTTACGGCCTTAAAATTTCCCTTTCACAATCCCGAATTTCTTGTCCTGCTGCCTTTCCATGACTTGACTCAAAAGACGGTACGTTGTTACAATCGTTTGGCAAAAAGCTAGTTATACAATAAAAGTAAGCACAAGCTACTTCAAATCCAACAGAAAAGCTTGTGCTAGATCTTGTTTACTTCCAGCTGCATCCACTTTGCTTGAAACCGTTGGTGTATGATTTATCAAACTTGCAGATATTATTTTGGCAATCACTCTATTGCCCCTAGCATTCTGCTTGATTGAATGCAAACCCAATTAACAGCTGGGATCTGCTGAACATCAACTAATCATCAAAAGTAAAGCATTTACATAAATCAAAAAAACTAATCAAACAATTCATACCAGCACTCAAAATGTAAGTTAACACACAGTGTGAGGCCAAAAAAAAAGTTGTTTTAGTCGTGCAGTTCAATCATGCCTGAAACATTTTTATTGGGACTTTCCAGCAAACCGCAAACTCCTGCTCTTTGATAATGATGACAACCCCCAAATGAGCCATTCTGACCCCATTCCTGTGCCTCTCTGAATGTTACTTGCATCCCCTATTAAACCTCCTGACAGCTCTATTAATAGATCCAGACCTCAATCTTTTAATAATTTCTCAAAGTCGAGATGGTCGCATGGTGATTATTGTTGCGTGGTTTGACAGTGAATCATGGCAGCTTTGTTCCAAAACAATTGACATAAAAACAGACTACAATTTCAAATTACCGACCACTCTCCGTGTAAGACTGGTTCATATTTGAGCTCTGGGTGTGCAGTAAATCGACAAGTTAATTGCTTGGATCATTTTCCTCTTGGGACAGTCACCCGTAAATAAGAACATGTGGATATCCTCTCCCTGGCATCAGTGACCTGACTGTGGGAATTACTACTCTGGGAAAAAACACAGATGGGAAACTCATTTAAGCAGTAAATGCACGTTTAGAGCACAACGAACAACATATTTTCTTCCAATAGTGTTGGAAAACAAAGCTAGAGCCCTGACCTGCTGATATAGGACCTGCAGGAGGTTCTAAGACGAGTGGGACCGTTTTAAATGCATGAAACCTACACTGTAGATTTCCCCTAAATCTCATTACCGATTTGCTTTTAAAACTGGACTAGATTTAAATGAGGGTTTTCACGCCAAAATTGTCGTTGGCAATTTTTTAAATGTAAATTGAATCTAAAATATAATTCTTAAACAATGTCCTGCCATGACTATTGTAGTCACCATCACTGGAAAACAATAATTCCTTTTAAAACATTATTTTAAATTCAGTGTTAAACTTGGCTGCCCTTGTTTCAGGCCTCATTTATAATTCAGGAAATGGTTAAGGAAAGATTCATTTTTAAAGCAGTGTAACCTTGTGACCTTTCATTTACAATTTCACCAACTGGATCAAAACCTTATTAGAATATGTAGAATTCTTAATCAGAAGCTTGCTAGAATATCTTTCGAATTGCCAATCTTTGTACTCAATCAATTTACTTCTGGCCTTGAAAGTCACAAAAGGGATAACATAAAATTATTATTAATTATTCATTGTCATTCTTAATTCATACTCTGCAACCTATGCCATTTTTAGCCTGGCACAAAAATATACAGTGATAATAGATGTGTTGGTGGGACTTTATTGGATTTGACATGATAAAAGCAGTGTGAAATATAGAAGCAATCTAATAACCAGTTCTTCTGAACAAATGATTTGATTTTAACAAGCTTGCATGAGTTTTACCAAGTGCATCCATAATTCTGCAGCCAACCTCATAAGTTGAGAATGAATGTTTTCACACTGCTAGGCAGCAGACAGCATTTCTCTTTCAGCAATGGTTTTACAACGTTAATTCAAATCTGAACTGGTTTCATATGTATTCTCCATCTCTATAGACTTATACACTTAATACATTTGCTGTCCAGTTTTAAAATCACGTCAGACATATACATCTAAAGAGGATTTTAGTGTTATAATTCAATTCTAGTATCAGATAATTTTTATTGTTTGAACTTCACTCACAGCCTCAATCATTTTTAATTGGTACCTCATATCCTCATCCACTGTCATTATTGTTCTTTTTTAAATAATATAACAATACAAACTAAGAAACAACACTTAGCAGTTTAATGAATCACTCGGGTCCTCACAGGTTTGAGGTATGTCCAAACTGCTGGAAAAAGAGACATTAATTCCTTCCTGATCTAAATCTATTTGTTTATTGTTCACTGATCACTGCTGTTTAAATAAATTCTAAGAAATTGCATCAGCAATATTGTCAGAAGGTTCACCAGGACTAAAGAGAACTTACCATAGAGGATTGTGATCAAGGAGATTGGCATGACTAAAATTCCCACCAGCATATCAGCAACAGCCAAAGACATGAGGAAATAGTTTGTTGCATTCTGCAATTTCTTCTCCAGGGAAACTGCCATAATTACTAGTATATTACCCCCAATAGTCAATACAATGATGATGACAATCAGCAAGGCTGGCCAATTCTTTCTCGAGATGGATGTTCGTGAGATGTCATCCACGTCTGACGTATTAAGTGCTTCTTCTGTTGCCAAACTCTGATTCAGAGCACAAGAGATGTTAATGTGTCTGGCCATCTGGAAGCCGCTTGCAAACTAAAATCCGGGGTCACAGAAACTGTAGTGAAGCAAACAAATATTCCAGTGCCACTTGGAATGCTTGTCATTTGGTGTCCTTTTAAATAAAATCAGAACGCTTTTTGTCCTTTACTTTCTCAAAGGTTCTCTTGTAAAGGACACGCCTACCAAAACGAGTTCCAAGGCAGACAAAAATAAATCATCCATTATTCAATTGAGGAGTCAAGAAGTTGAAGCCATCAAGCATTTTCTGAACACTACCAGAGGAAGAAGATATGAGGCACAGGCAATGGCAGAGATCTCATGGATCACTTTGAGGTTACCTGAACTTTCAACGTGTTATTCTCTTTTCCAAAAAGTTTTACAAAAACAGCCAGAGTGTCACGAATATTGTACCAAGCTTCTGAAATTAACCATTTCCTTTGTTCTCTTTTTCAATTTCTTTCTCAGAAGATGAGAATTTGATGCACCATTTCAAGGGCCCATTTCATCAGAACCATTTCAGTGAGATCCAATCAAGTCGATGTCCTGTTGCAATTGTACAAGCTTAATCCTGAAAATAATCACAATTGCAAGATTTTTATACCACTGTTCTCACTTGTTGCTTATAAATATTAATTTCATTAAAACACTGCATTTCTGCATTCTTTCAATATTTAATGAATAGAGTTTCCCATGCTTGGAAAGAGACCAGAAAACATTTGCTTCCTATGTCAAGTGTCACTCATACACAGATATTCATTACAATTCTGCAGTCCAGATTGGCAAGAGCAAATAATTGATGTTTTATTATCGTCGCATTGTAGAGATTTATTGAAGCAATAATTTATTTCAGACCTCTGTTATGCTCCAAATTATCTTTTCTCTCAGTCCGCTAGCTTCTGATGTATCTCATCACCACCTCAGAGAAAGCATCAAGGCAATATAAATTCAGTATGTTCCACAGGATTCAGAATAATATGATTTAATTATGTGCAGAGTATATGGTTTCTCTTTACATTGTTTCTACATTATTAACTGGCACATAGCAAAGCACTTTGAAAAGTATCCCTGAAATGAAAGGCTCTATTTAATTTATTATATTATTCAAAAATGTTTAATTTCATATTTTTAATAGTATTTCATTTTTTTATTGATTTCAGTTTGCTATTGCAGGTTTTGCCTTACTTTATCTGTGAATAAAACTTAATGGGTAAAGGCAACATGCTTTGACCATGGCTTCTTTGAAGCACTGGATGCCTTTTTGCATCTTGTGTTATCTGATTCACCAAACTTAATGCTTAGATCAAATATAAACAAAATGAGAATAAGAGCTATAATACAGGCTTTATTATTTATTGATTTTCTGGAAATAGAAAATGTACCGAATCATTTTCAAATTGGCTCTGTATCCTTGTTATGAACGCTGAAAAATGTGTGAAATATTCAGTTATTCGAAATGCATTTGTATTCTCTGAATTTAATGTGATTGAATAATTCTTCACCATGATATTCATAATCTATTATTTCTGCACATAAAAATTATTTTCAGTTGTATTAATAGGAGGCCAGAGCTTTAAAAGGAGTCAGAACTCCAATGCATATACACTGTCAAACTACTGCTACTTGTTAGAAGGAGCATGATTGGCAGCACTCTATAATTTCCTGACAAAGAGCATCTGGAATTAATAGCTTCTTTCATATTTGCAAGAAGCGTTCTTTTAAGATTGAGCTCCAGCTCTATGTTAGCTGGTTTGCATGTCATGAAAATGAGGTAACATGTAATTATTCTATACTTAAGTAAATTATCTCAATCTGAATATAGGTTTAGAGCCTACGTGATTCAAAAGTTACAGATCCATTGGTTTGTTAATGAAATAAGTGAAAGGTTAAAGAGATCTGGGCAAACGTGGACTTTTAGAGACTCAGAAATCTAAGACATATATAAACCTTAGGTTACTTATAATATTCTTAGTTAATAAATATCAAAGTACTTTCAAAACCCACCAAACAGTTGTATTATTCCAAAATGCTGAATAAATCTATTTAAATGACTAAAAAATAAAGATCCTTTCATTTGATATAGTGCCTTTCATATCAGAAGGATGCCTGAAAGCACTTTACAGGATATACACTAACTGCATCTATTCCTCATCTTTTAGAACGGCATCATGATTTTTTATGAATTGCATGAACTTGAAGCCATAATTTAGGTAAGTAAATGTTCTACTTCCTTGATAAGGCACAATCTGAAATGCAAGAATTATTATTATTACCATATTCTAAAGGTGATTTTTTTTGGGATGAATGAGGTTAAGCCCCACTCATTCCCTGTGAGTCAAATTAAACTGAAACGTGTTCCTCAAGGGAATGATGACTGCCCCACAGACAACACTTTTCCCCTAAAAAACTGGGTTGTGGTAATATAATACGCGAGTTAATCTTAACAGGAGAGCTTCATGACAGGCGCAGCTCCCAAGGAGTAAATGATAACAATGCCACCACCAATAACTAGCACTTATGTAGTGTCCTCCACGCAGGGTAGCGTCTCAGAATGCTTAACTATGGCAAGGCCTGACTGCAAGCCGGAGTACGGGAGCTGGCCATAAGCACAATCGAAGAGGTTTTCAGGCGGGACTTGAAAAAGGGGAGAGAGGGGGCAAGGTGGAGGGATTGAGGGAGAGTGTTCCAGAGTTTCAGGGTGTAGCGGCTGAAAGCGCGACCTCCGATGGTGGGGTAGAGGGTGTGAGGGATGAGCAGTCGAGCGGAGACGCCGGGTGGTGGATTGAGGAGTGAGGAGGTCGGAGAGATAGGGAGGTGCCAGGGAGTGAAGGGATTTGAGCATGAGTGTGAGGATCTTGAAGTCGATCCATTCAGTGATGGAGAGCCAGTGAAGCCTGGGCCAGAACTGGTGAGATGTGGGTACAGAGTTTGGTCGGGGTCAGTATGCAGGCAGTCATTTATTGAAACTGCACACTACATTACGAGATATAACGGCTAAAGGTGTTTCCACAACTGCTCATGTTTGTTCCTTAACTGCATTTGTGGAGTCCTGTAGCTCAGTGGTTAGAGCACTCGCTTTGCAAGTGAGAGATCTGGGTTCGATTCCAGGCAGGGCGAAACCTTGGGCAAGTTTCCTTACTCCATACACCCAATAATAATCCCTCCAAAAAAGCAAAACAATAATAAATTGGTCATTTTGAATCCATGACTGTTTGTGGGACATTGCTGTGTGCAATTGGCTGCCGCGTTCGCCCACAAATATACGGTCAATTCACTTTACAGTGTGTTCTGTGAAGCGCTTTGGGACGTCCTCCCGACGTGAAAAGCGCTATATCAAATGCAAGGATTATTATTATTATTATTATTATTATGAGGACCCAACAAAGGTCAAAGGAGGGATGCTAACTCATAGTACTTGTAATTTTTAACCTCCTCGTGTTGATCTGTTGAATAGTGGAGGTGGGGAGACCAGCGAGAAGTATGTTTGAGTAATCCAAGCAGGAGGTGACAAACGCATACACGAAGATAAGCACAGAAACTTAGCCAAAAGGCCAAGAAGTAGAAACAAAAGCTGAGTTTTTTTGTGAGAAATAAAATCTGATGTTTCAGTAAATCTTAATCAGGGCTATTACATCCATATCAGCTCCAACGGTTGTGGTTTCTTTGTTGTGGTTACTTCTTGCTATCCTTCAGATCATAGTGCATCTCCTCTCTTGTCTTGTAGTGAGATGATATTTTTTTTCCATTCAAAGCATATGAGTGCCCAATTTGTTTTCCAGACCAATTTAATTTTCATCTGGAAGCCTCTGTACCTCAGATCGCATCATTAGGGGATTTCAGACTGCTTCACGGCAGATTGTACCTTTCATTGCTTTCCTACCACGCTTGAGGCTTATTCCTTGAATCAATAGTCTGCCTGCGATTGAAATGATTGGCTGGTCAGCAGGCGATATCTCAATCAGCTCAATTGTTGAGTTAACAGTGAAACAGATTTCACATATATTTAAGTAAACCAAACTCTCGAGATGTTGACCCACTATGATAATACAATACAAAATTACATTTGTATAGCGCCTTTCACGTCGGGAGGATGTCCCCACAAGGACAACCCCACAATAACGCTGGTCTTTACGCTCATTTGCAGAGCAGTTTTGTACACAATTGAGTCAATTTCAGAGGTTTTCCTTCTGCATCAGCTACAAGGAGTCATTTATTGCAACTGTACACTACATTACGAGGCATAACAGCTGTTTCCTCAACTGCTCATGTTTGTATCTTATCTGCATCAGGACTCCACAAAGGTCAAAGAAGGGAATGCTAACTCATAGTACTTGCAATTCTTAACCTCCTCGTGATTTTAAATTCAACGTTGACTAAAATAACTTAAGAATAGCAAAAAAATCCCCTTTTCTGCCGTGCACAATATCTTTCCCTCCTTTCTGTGCAAACATTACCATTCCAATCTCAAGAAATATTGAATATTTCACTCCATTTTCCATTGTCTTCTTTTATAATAATAACTCTAACATTTGATATTATGCTTTTCACATCAAAAGGAGGTCTCAAATTGTAAAGTGTTGCGACTGTGTGTGTTTTGTGTTCTGTAGATGCAACAGAATCTGCAGTGGTGAGGAAAGGTTTCAAATGGCCTAGAATGAAGCAATAGCTGATTCATTATTTGCTGGTCAAAAGAGGTCAACAAAATAATAATAATAATCCTTGCATTTGATACAACATTCTATTATGTCTTCAAGATGCCTCAAAGCGCTTCACAGAATATACTGTTATGTGAATTGACAGTATACTTTGTGGGCGAAACGCGGCAGCCAATAGCGTACAGTAGTGTCCCAAAACAGTCGTTTTACATAAAATGTTCAATTTTAGAATGCAATATTCAGGCAAATAAAACCAATATTGACATTGTTCTTAACCTGAAATCACTCAGTGGGGTTTTATCAAAACTCAAGTCATGAGAGTGGATTATTTTTACCGATAGTTACTTCAATGAAAATAGGATAACAGAACCTTTTTTTTTAAAAGAAAACCTCCACAGATGCGCAGTGTTCCAATTTCATACCAAACATGGAAAGAATAATGACATTTCTAG